GGAATCTTCTATCTGGAATATTGAGATGTATCAGGATTCTCTCACCAGAAGACCTGAGAGCGTTTGTGGGTAGATACAGGTACAAATCTGTGATGCATTTTGGTTTTAAAGTCTACTTTCTGACATACATGGAGCCAGTGGAAAGACTTTAGAACTAAGATGATGTGCTCCACCTCCTTAGTTTCAGTGAGGACGCAGGCAGCAGAATCCTGGATCATTTGCAGCTACAGTATGAAGACCTGTGAAGACACCGTTGCAGTAATCAATCCTACTGAAGATGGTAGTTTTTCATTGTCCTTTTGAGACATTTATGCTGTATTCCTGGAGATGTTTTTAAGTAAGAAAAAGGCAAGTTTTGTTACTGTATTTATGAGTCTATCAAGGTTCAGTCCATCCTTACATTCAGATTTCGGGCCTGTTTGTTGGTTTCCAGTTTCCAATTGAAGGTCTGTGCTAATTTTGGAAGGTTTCTTCCTTTGGTTGGAAAACTTTTACTTTGGTTTTGATTTGATTCAGCGGAAGAAAATGTTGTCCTTTCCATGTGTTGATTACCTGTAAGACTTTTAAGTAGTAAGACTCTATAACCACCACTATTCCAAACAACCTCAATAAGTCTTTACATTCAGGCTGATTTTGTACAGTTTCTATCTTAGTCAGTTAAATAACATGCTGCTGTCATTTTGCACATCTCTGATGTTGCTGCTATTTTCAAATATCCATTACAGTAAAAATGTCCATAGCTGCATATTGATTATTTATTGTCACAGTATTTATGTAGTTAAAAAACATTACAGTAGAGTATTTCTCTTTTTTTTTTTTTTACTCTTCACTATTCTGTTATTCTTATACATTTTTCTAAGGTCCAAATTTGTGTGACATTTTTTTCTATAATCTTTTTGCTGCTGTAAACACCAGATTTTCCTCATGGGCATTATAGACAGTGATTTCTGTGGATTTAGGCATTGAGCTAGAAGTCTGATAGTAAATGCATTGTTCCTCTCTTTTAGGAAACAGTAGTTTTATACCTAACATTGCTTCTACAAAGTACTGGTCAGAGAGGGGCTAGACAAAAATACAGGCCATAATTTTCATATTTCCTAAAAAATCAACATATTCTCATTATCAGTTCGTCTGAAATCGTACGAAAAGTTATGCACACTATTTTGTACGTTTTGGACGTTTTTCCTCAAGAAAACAGATCAGTGCGCATGCGCAGGCAGACAGACGAAAAAAGCAGATCCGCGGACGGACGTAAAACTGGGAAAAACAATAATTACTTCTTCATGTCTCTAACTACGTTGCTTGCTGTTTTGTATCTTAGGGTTAGGGTTAATTGTATGTTAAATTCTATGTTATTGAATCGTGCGTAAGATGCGCATGCACAAGGATATCTTGTCTCGAGGCAAGACTTAAAAATACGACGAAAAAACGTTTTGTACGTCCAAAACGTACGAAATTAAGGTGCATAACTTTTCGTACGATTTCAGACGAACTCATAATGAGAATACACTGAAAAAATTGAAAAGTGCATTATTGTTCTCATACTATCACATAAGGTCCAAATACACTGAGGCATCCCTTTTTCTCATCTAAATAGACGCAAGATTTCCTATTGCCCTTAAATGTATCAGTGAGCCTGAATGTTATTTTACTACTCGTTTGAAGCAAAGCTTTCCATTTATTTGAAAACTTCAAACTTTGTTTTACTAGCAGCCAGCCAGTTTGAGAAAACGGCTGGAATTTTACCAGGAAGAATCAGATCACTACCCCTGTTTGCAGCCGGCTCCTGACCTGGAGTGACGTTTGTGTGTAGTGCAGATGGTCTTGGACAAAACAAACATCCAAGACAGCAGCGGTGAGTGTCGCTGGCCCTCAAATATGCCCCCTGCTATCCACAAACATCCTCTTCTGGAGAGTTCAGTCGTTGCGTCCCCTCTAACTGAGAGGCCCCGCTTCGTAATGCTCCTCTCTGACCTCAGCTGGTTACACAACAGGGCTGTTTGAGCATGGAACCAAGATAAAATTACTAATCCTGAGTTAATGCACGACTATGAGGGATTTAAAGATATTGAATTAACTAATGTAGAAAATAAAATGAAGTTTGATCAGATCAGCATGTCCTAATTGTATTTTTGCCACCTATTTAGAAGTGAATATTGGTGAGGCTGGTGTGAGTGAAGAGAACTTGTAACAACAATCTGGAGGCGATTACCTCTGTGTGTCTGGCATTTCCAAAAAGTTGCTGTTAATAATGAAAAATGATCATATTGTTCTGTTCTAGCTCATGTTCATCGGATACCTGCTCCAAAATGTTCACTTTTTCCTTTGATACCCAAAATCGTCAAATTGAAAGCTCGTGCAAATTTCACACAAAAACCTGGTTAAGAATTTAAAAAAATTGCTGATGTTCTTAAATTTTCTTTTAAGCATCTACAAATGTTGTCCTCATAATATAAACGTGTCCTTCAGCGTGAACCAGTGGTTGCAGTGTAGATTTGCCTGATTCTGTGGCAGGGGTTGCACATTCAGAGAGCCACACTTAGGACCTTCCTGCTGCAATGCCTTCAGCAAATTTGTAAAAACTTTTACAGTTTTATTTAATCTCTTGTTAGTTTATAGTTAATGAATGTATCTTATAAAAGCAAAAGATGCAATCCCAGCTAAGTAATTGTGTCCAGGGGCAAGACACCTGACTGGCATTATTGAGGTGTTTATGGTGTTTTGAAGGCTCGATAGCTGCTGTCTATGGCAGTCCTGTTTCTGACAGTGTGCCCCAGGGCGGCTTTGGCAACAATGCATCAGACAGCATTTGATTAATTACCTCAATGTGTGTTAATCACTCCTAATGCCTGTAGCAGTAATGTTGTTTTTTCTTCTCCTTATTGCTGCTAATGTCTTAAAAATCTCTCTCCTTTCCATAGAAGCCATGCCACACTGCAAAAAATCTAAATCTAGATAAGTCTAAAATAAGTGCATTTGTTCTTGAATTGAGGAGGTAAAAGAGACATTTTGCCAATGGAACAAGACAATTAACACTTCAAATATGAAAACACAATTGCATCGTCTTATTTCAAGTGCATTTTATCTAATTATCGTATTTTAAGAGTAAAATTACACATTCCATTGGCAAACTATCTCATTAACCTGCTCAAATTAAGGGTGAATATACTTAATTCAAGAAATGTTTACTTATTTCTAGATCGTTTTTGCAGTGCAGGCTTGGTGTTTCTGTAGTTAATTATATCCTCTTCCCAAAATAGAACAATATTTTGTTACTATCAAGTTAAAAAGTAAATCTTTCCCTCAGCCTAACCCTCTGGTCCATCCCATAAATCAGGGGTTCCCATACATTTCCACCTGTGACCCCAATAATAACACTGCAAGAGACTGGGAACCTCCTAAAAATACATGCAATCACTTGACTGTATATATATTCATAAGTATAGAGTTAGGTAACTAAATTAATCTTAAGATAAATGTATTTCTTTTAAATTGCCTTTCTTTTATTGAATTTTTTTTTGAAATTATAAAATTTAATGGTGCGTTTTACTGTAATCCATCTTATAAATAAGTAAATCTATTTTACTTCTATTTATTTAATGGGACAATCGCATTTATTTATTTTATGATATATGTTGGCCCTCCATATACCTCAGGGATAACAATATTTGTGGAACTCATTTCATAAGACCCCACTTTGGGTCTGGCAACCCCTTGGGGGAGCCTGACCCCCACTTTGGGAACCCTTACAATAGATCATATGTGTTAAAATCAAGGGCCATGGGCCGGACCTTGCCTGTCAGTGCAATTTATCCAGTCCTCAACGTCACAATAACACATATCATGTCAGAAAATAGTGACAAATGTTCTTTTTAGCATTCAAAGTGGGTAAAATTGCTAAATAAATAGGAGTAAAGTTAAAATAAGAGACCAGTGTGCTGTGTGTAATTGAAGTAAAATTTAAAACGTTCATTTGCTGCAACCGCTGTTCTGTCAAATGAGCATACCCATAGTCAATACCCGTCTATCCCTTTAGTTTTGTACGAAAAATAGACTTTAATCTACCTCAACGAGCATGCGTCCCTTTAATGATGTACAAAAAAACTATTTAATTACTTGCTTTTTGTTGGTATTTTGAAGCGTATAGCGATCTCACCTTAAATTCTTTTTTTGTACATGAATAAAGGGAATAAAGTCGATTTGTTATACAAAACTAAAGGGATAGACGCAAATCTGACATCTTGCTCATGCATATTGACTATGAGTACGCTGGTCTGATGAGGAATGCTCATTTGACAGAACACCGGTCCTTCTAAAGATTTAATAATGTGACATGTTTGAAACTCCTGCCATAGATGGTATCAAGGCTCAGGCTTGGATGTGTTTTTTCTCCTGGATGAAGCTCCCATCAGAGCTGCTAATGCCATCAATTCTGTGTATCCTGATTTTCAGCTGCATAGAAAAGGGACCAGTGAAGTTGAAGTTTTTTTGCAAATTCTTTCTAATCTGTCTTCTTCGAACTCCAGTTATTGCTGGGTTCTGCTTTTTTTTTTTTCCCTACTGGATAAAAGCGTATGCATGGTGAGATCATGCAAAGTCCGCATAGAGTGGCCCAAAATTAGTTGAACCCCAAGCCTTCTCAGAAACCAATAATGACACAGAGTGTGATGTAACTGCAGCCTAACATTTATTAACAGATAATCTGTTCAGTAATTCCATAAATCTAGGGAAGCGAATCAATTTTCAGCTTAAGAAGAACAGAAAATGGTTTCATGTCCTGGATTATATGTTACAAACTATATATGATCTGTACCTTTATTGTAAAAGTGCTACCGTCTTATTTGAACCGGTGGTCCCTTGTTCCAACCTAGACTTTGTCTCCGTTTGTCTTGGCAGGTCCCCTGATGTCGGGTGCAGCCCACATGTGACGCAGGAGGAGGGGTGAGCTCTGTGTTTGACGTGGATGGATTTAAAGCACAGCATAAATACAACACAGCCATCCAGAGCTCTGTCTCTTCTTTTGGTTTTCTGCTTGGCTCGTTACTCTGATAAGGTTTTCAGAAATGCATCTCTTGAGCATTACTGTGGCTTTGGGATTACTGGGGGGGATATTGGCTCAGGTGAATGTGCTGCGGCCTGCATGCGACTCCCCAGAGGCAGAGGAGGCTGCCATAGTGGCTCAGGATTACCTGAATGCACATCACACCCATGGCTACAAGTATGCACTGAACAGGATAGAAGAGATCAAGATCTACCATGTGGTAAGCCTGCTAGTTTATTACCAGTTTCCTGGAAAGGTTAATTTATTGCATTTCTATAGATCTAATAATTAAAGGAAAACACTGAGGTATGCTGAAAAGTTTTTTTAAATCTTTTTTAATCTGACTTAGCCTGAGGGAGACAACACATATGTGCTGGAAGTTGAATTACTGGAGACGGACTGCCATGTCCTGGACCCCACACCTGTTGCCAACTGCACAGTGAGGCCCAAACATTTGACGGTGAGGACGCACATCATCCTTCTTAAATCAGTTACAGTAAACCTTCTGTTTGCCGTATTTAACACCGACTCTGTGATCCTGCAGGCGATCGAAGGAGATTGCGATGTGGTGCTAAAGAAGGTTGGCAGTGCTCTAACCGTCACTGCTTTCAAATGCAAAACAGAAGGTAAGGGTCAAGCCAGCTGCATCCAGTAATACAAAAAAACCCCAGCATAGATTCATTGAGTGCTTTTTTGGTTGATATTCAGAATCAAGAGAGGACGTGTGCGTCGGCTGCTCTACCCTCCTTCCTCTGAATCACACACAAGGGCTGGAGTTTGTTAAGGCCTCACTCAATAAGCTTAACAATGTGACACAAAATCTAACATACACCCTGTTGGACGTCGGCAGGATGTCTACACAGGTTGGTCTCAATGCATTAACATGCATTATTGGTCAAAGTCATGAAACCACATGTTCTGAGATGCAATAACCCTTTCAATGTCTCAGGTTGTGTCTGGCGGCCAGAGGTACATCTCAGAATTCGTTGTAATTGAGGCCAGTTGTGTCAACGACACTTGCGTACCTCTGAATGACACCATGGCTGTAAGTACAAATGAGAGCATATAAGAATATGAGTTACTGTGAGTTCTGTTTTTTTATTTTTTTAGTAAATAACACAAAAAACACAGTATACAGAAGCCTAACTACTTTTTGCAGGCACGTGGAATTTGTACTTCTGAAGGGATGGACGATCCCAGCGTGAACTGCAAGATGTTTTCCACTTTGGTAAAGTTCTTGAACTTCTTTACACTTTTAGTTGCTCTGATCCACCCAAAAACTGAAACAAATCTTTGCATTTTTAGATGCCGCTTGTAGATGCCAACAGCACTGCAATGCCCGTCTTGCCACCACATGTTCACGTCCACTCAGATAGAAATTCTCACAAGCATGGCTTCGGACACCACAAACTCACGGCTCACCACAACCCCCACATGAGTGGCTATTTGTCAGCGGAATCTGCAGAGTCGGCTGAGGTGGTCCCCGTTGCCCCTGCTATAAATGTCTCCACTGATGGCCTCAGCAGTCCCTCTCCAGCTTCGGACGACTCTTCTTCAGATGCTTCCTCATCCAGCGCAGAAGTTCCCATCGCTGTGGTTAAGAGGGAGGCCCCTGCGTCGATTGTGGGCGATGCTCCTGCAGCTCAAAATGTTCCTGTTGCTCCAGTGCAATTGTGCCCAGGAAGGATCAGGTTCTTCTAAATGTCTTAAGCTCTTAAAGACTCAATAGCTGCTTTAACTACATTGATAGAGGAACTGCTGTAAGTGTGCTGTGATATATCACTCTTAGGAATAGGAATACAGTTTTTTAACTGGCAATACAAGTAATGGGGTGAATAAAGCTTAAAACTAATAGTATTGCATTCAATTGTTTAATAAAGATCAATCCTTGTTTTTAACTCTTTTTTTTCCCTTAAACCCAAGTTTAATACAGTAAAGTTACTGGTCAAGAAAAGTTTGTTATCTGTGGTTCAACGGGTACATTAAAAAGGTATTGACAAAGTTCACAGTCCTGTTTGTTGTGTTAACTCAAGCAAACAGGATGCCTTTGTACACAGGGCACTTCTGATAGCTGGAACAGGGGTGGATGTGTCAGGAGGCATGTAGTTCAGAGGTCATCTGCTAGACCACAACATTTAAAGTTATATCACTATGGTACTCTAACCTGCAGCACCCCCCACCCCAAATCCTTTGGTCTTCAAACACACCTTCAAAACTAGTAAAAAAAAATAAAAATCAGTGTCCAGTAGTGAGGACATTTTTCTCCTGCATATAAATCCAGCACTAAGAAATTTGAGTGGGAGTCCCCCTAGAGGATATTTTGAAAATAGCGTTGTCACTCGCATTAACTTCCCTGTATCTCAGAGCTACAAAGCACCATTACTCTCAATGCAGCTGGGAAATGCATATCGACGAAATGTCTGAAGATGATGGTAATATCGTACAATATATTTGATGTAAATCAGTTTACATCTTTTTGGTCAAATTTGTTGCCTTTATACAAGTTAGTGAAATACAAGCCTGTCTCAAGTAAACTGATTTGCTCTCAAAAGGGGATTTTTATATTTGTAAACTCAAAAAACACTTAAGTTTTAACAGTAGTAACCGGTTAGGTCTAATAATATTGCCAGGTCTGCATAAGAGGTCTCACCACAGAGTAAACCCCTTGCTCAAATTCACTTTTTTTTTTGCAAGCCTTGACGCAGTCCAATTCACCTTTGCTGGCCCTGCCATGTCCTAAAACCTCCAAAATCCAGGGGTGTTCAATCACTGAGCTGTGATAAGTGCAGCAAAGAACATGTAGCTAATAATGCCATTGCCCTTACTGGGCTTTTCATTCTGGCAGCTGCATCCTCTGAAGGTCACATAGCACGGTGCTGCAGCCTGATCAAATCCAAAGTTTCATGATACGTGGCTGACGAATGGAGCCTACTTTTGCCCTGCATTTAAGGTCAGTTACGTACGTATCCCATGATTCATTGTGGGTCGAGCTGCTCCATGCTCAGAGGAAAAAGGGTGGTGAATATTGTAAATGCAGCTTAATATAGTACAAGAAAACAATTACACCTTAATAAAAATTTAAATTGTTAGTAAACCATATACATTGCAGGTAAATTTGGGTTTATTGAAGGGTTTTATCTTTCCCTGTGCAAATGTGTTTGCCTTATACTCAAGTACAGATTCCAGTACCTGCAGTGTATGAACTACAGGCTGGTCAAATAAAATTAGCACAGCTGTGTGAAATTTAGCATCCAATCTTTGCTTGCTTTGCGCATCAACTGTTTCAGTTGCCTTGCAACAGCTTATGCTGAGTAAGGAGCAGTGACTGCCACAAGACTAGATCTGCTCAAATATATAATCAAACTCTTCCAGCCTAATTTTCACGGCCGTTGAATGATGCAGCCACTATATTCAAACAGCAAAAAACAGAACTGAGCCAAAAGACTGCTGCCAGGTTGATGGCATTGAAAGTTGAAAGTGTGTTTTTCTGGCCAGAGACTGTAGTGGAAGATGACCCCTCAATTATCTCAAACAGATTACCATAATAAAAAGTTGGGGTATTTGAGTTATTGAGTAGTAGTTATTAGGTGTTTATTTACAAAACTCTGCTTAAAAGGCTGAAAAGTTGGTGCCAAGGGGGCCTTTTGGGGGTATAGGTTCTTGCTCAGGATTAGACCAGTGATCTTACCACAATTACTCTGTGCTCCAACAACTAGGCTACCACTGCCTAAACTACCAAACTTTAAAGTTAGGGGTCACGTGTGTTAAGTCAGATGCCATGCAGTCTCCTTTCAAATTTTCTATGCAAATAAAGATAAAAAAAAAAAATATATATATATATATATATATATATACACACAAAAAAGCACAAGTAGTTTTCAAATTTATTAAAGAAAACTTGGATCTTTTGGATTTTTTTTGGCCATCACAGGTTTTTCAATTCCTGTAAGAAACAAAGACATTAGCTAAACAGATAGGCATAAATTACTATTCAAGATACAATTACATACCCTGTGCTAGTTGGTCCGAGCCTTTTTCTTCAGCCTTTCCTGGAACATTTGCAACAAACAACTGGCTGAAGTCAGAAGGTGGCGGATATTTCCAGAGATTTTCAAATGACTTCAGAATTTCTGGCTTTAGCTGCTCAGCACTGAAAGATTGCTCTGGGTACACATCCAGAGGATTAGAGTCATCTTGCATGAGGTTGAAAGAACTTGATGCATCGTCACCCCTCCGCATATGGTTGACGTTACCAGGTGGGAGACTAGACGTTCCTTCCCCCAGCCTCTCTAGTTTTTGCGTTTTTGCCTGCAAAGACTCCAAAGTGTGGGGATCAGCATTTCTTAAGAGTTCAAAAGCTTTTGAGTTTGCGCCATAAGCTAAATCTCCAAAAGAACCCTTAGAATCCCTTAATCGATGGGGCTCCCTTCCTGGTGGACCATCCTGTAATAATACAAAACTCTGAGGTTCTGAAAACAAATTTTGAGGCTTGTGTGTTTTTGTCAAATTCTTTAAGCTCATCCCAGATAGCATTTCTTGGGATACATTGACACCTACAGAGGTATTAGATGCAGGAGAATCTCCAGGCATGTAGCGAGAGAAAAACCTGTCAATTGCACGTTTAAAGTTATGTGTTGAACGTTTGTATTCAGATTTGTGCAAAGATTTCTGCTCATCAGGAGGTTTACTTTGCTGTTCTACCTGTAGAACATGTTGGCCAAGATATGACATTAAATCAGGCCTAGACTGGAGCATTTGTTCAGCAAACCCAATGTTGAAAGGTTCATACTCTACTACTGGCTTAGATTGCTCATTGCCTAAAGCCCAGAGTTTAGATGGGTCATCAGGATATTCAGTTTTAAATTGCTCCAGGCTTGGTTGCAACCCATTTTGTCCCACATGTGGCAAGTAGGGATTTTGTAATTCAGTCCCAAAATAAGGGTAAAATTGTTCTCTATTTGCAATCATGCCAAGACTACCTCTTGAAAATGTGGCGCCACTATCTTGTGGTCTGAAAGAGTCTCTGTTTGCACTAGGAGTTTGAGACTGAGGAGAAATTTGTGCTGAGGCACTGGTTTCAGCAGCCTGCTGAACTGCTGGTGACGAGAGCTTTTGTGGTACTTCAGCAGTTTCCAAACCTTGGCCAACACCAAAATAAGATGCAGGCGAGAAACTTTTATAAGTCTGGGGCTCAGGTTTAACCTCAAATGGGGCAGAAATGTGAAGATGCTGATGTAAAGCTATTTGTAGGCAGCAATTAGATAACCCAGATGGACAAAAATTAGGGCAGAATACACGATTACCATGTTTTGTTCCAAGAGTGTCCAGCTTCTGCTCACTTGCTAAAGCAGCAAGCTTTTGCATAGAAGTAGCATAAGACTGTTGGGCAGACAGGGGCTGCTGAGAGTGGAAAAAGTTGAAGAGGTATTCACGCTGGGCCTGTGGAAGGCTGGCAATAGGCTGCTCTGAAAATTGCAAGAGATTACCCACTGAAGCACCTTCACTCATTTCAAGAACTGGCAGCTTTGATTGACAGGGGCCATATACAAGCCCCTGGGTAGGTTTAGTTGGGGTGTTGGCCAGCTGATTTTCCGCCCACAGCTGAGAATATAAGCACTTTTGCTGTTCTTGACCAATAGGTTTTTCTGGCTGCAGTGACTCATCTTCAGCTATGGGACTTGAAGTTAGCTTTGGTTGAGTTTTCTGGTGGTAATGGTAAAGTGGCTGGGATACCTGGCCCTTAAGAAGTTCTAATTGCTGGGGTTGAGCAACTGTAGTGGGATTTGTGGCTGGCTTTGGTTTTGGGTACAAGTCAAAGAAATGCTGATAGACTTTGCTCTGAGAGGTTGCAGACTGTGGCATTTGAGTAACAGCTGGTTGTTGAGCCGCATTTGTCTGGGTATAGAAGTAAAAGAAGGGTGGGTATACCTGAGGTTGAGAAGTTGCTTGCTGTGGTTGCTGAGTTACAGCAGGTTTCTGGGTTGGTTTTGACTGGGGATAAAAAGGAAATAAATGCGAGTATAACAGGGCTTGAGGATTTGCTGGCTGTGATGGCCAAGTTGCAGCAGGTTTCTGGTTTGGCTTTGGCTGGGGAAAGAAAGGAAATGACCCTTTTACCGGGGCTTGGGTAGCTGCTGGTTGCAGTGGGGGAGTTACAGCTGGTTTTTGTGTTGGTTTTGGCTGCAGATGGAATGGGAACAAATGAGAGTAGAATTGGTTTTGAGGAGTTGCTGGCTGTTGTGGCCGAGTTACAGCAGGTTGCTGGGTTGGCTTTTGTTGGGGAAAGAAGGGAAATGTCCCTTGGTATATCTGGGCTCTAGGAGTTCCAGGCTGTGGTGGTTGATTTACAGCAGGTTTTTGGTTTGGTTTGGGATAGAAGGGATACAAATATGAGTATTGTTGGGCTTGAGTTACAGCTTGTGGGGGCTGAGTAACTCCACTGGGAGTTTGAGGTGACTGAAAATAGAGAGGGTAGAAAGCCTGGTATAGATGACCCTTTGTCATTTCTGGTTGTGCCCGAGTAAATTCAGCAAGCTTTGAGGCTTGTTCCTGCTGGTTGCAGAAGAGGTAGAATGAATAGTACATTTGTCCTTGAGAGGTTTTTAAGTGCTGTAGCTCCGATCCCTGCAAGGTGCACAACAGGTTGAACAGCTCATTTACTTGTCGATTTGGAGCTTCAGGGTGGGATGAATGAAAGACATCTGTAGGTTTGGAGACTGGTTCCATTTGGGTACACACAAGTTGGAATCGCTGATTCAATTCACCCTGAAACATGCCAAGCCATGACAACCAAGAAGGTCCAGATGGCTGAGAGGCTACCATCTCTTGATTGCAGATTAGATGGACCGGCATCTCTTCACCTTGACCTTTCTGAGACGTGGGACGAGATTGTCCCGGTTCCTCAGGTAATTTTTCAAGATACAACGGATATGAATTAGAGAGCTGGGACAAAGCATCTGTGTAATAAAATGAATGAATGTTCTGTCCTTGCACTTTAGAGAAGCTTGAGGGTTGCTCAGGTCTCTGAGGGTCAAGTGGGAAAACATGTTTATTTGGATATTGATCCAAATTAGATGGTGGGAATTTGGTCACTGGTGGCCTCATTTCTGGCATTGATGGCAATTGTGGATAGAATGGACCAGCAACAGAATGATCTGTAGATTGCTTAACTGCTTTCACAGTGGTAGGGTTTTGGGGCTGTTTAGTAGGGGTAGTTTCTGGGTTTTTAAGGTAAGCATAAGGAAAACCTGGGAAATTATAGTAAGGAAAATACCCAGGATTTGAACCCTGATTTGTCCTGCCAGGGATCTGCAGGTTCTGAGAATAATCGTACGCCTGTGAATCCGCTGTACGCGTAGGAAGCATTAAGGGATTTTGTGTAGGAAAGGGATGCATCCATTCGCCTAGAATTTCCCTTTCGTGGACAGACCCCCCAACTTGGCTCCCAGACAACTTGAGTTGAGCTGCCGACAACGATGGACAGGAAACCTTGGTCTCTGCATCGGCCGCCAACTCAATGGTGTACATTCCATCCTGCACACAAATGTCAGTATTTAACAACATTCCCCCCGCTGAGAAGAGTGAGCATTTTATTATAATAAAAAAATAAAGACTCACCTTCTTTACTAAGCAAGGTGCATAGTGTACAGAGATGACAACACCTTCTGGATGCTCAACTATGCCAAATGCACAGCGATGAGCAGCAGTCAAAAGTGATTCCCAGTTTCCATTTACTGCAACAAAAAAGTAAGGGAGGAAAGTAAACATTTCATCGTTTTCTGTTGCATGCAAGTTAGATTTTCAGTCCACACCCAACTTTAAAGCCTGATTAAGAAAAAAAAAATGGATAGAGTACCAAAAAAATTTACTAGAGATTGGTACTTTAACATGTAATGTAATGCTACTGTAAAAAGTTGTAATCCAAGAAATTACTCAAAGTAAATGGTATTCAGCAGAAAGGCTACTTGAGTACAGAATAATTGTTGGATAACATCAGATTTAATGTTAATAAATTATCAGGGTTTCTACAGCATAAGGCAAGTTAAATTCAAGACTTTAATGCCACTTGAAATAAAAATTTAAGATCAAATTCACAAGAAAAACCTGCTTGCGACAACTTAACCCAAAGGTTTATTTTAACATAAACCACTGCACTAATGTTTCAAATTTTGAAAAGCTTCCCATACAGGAAGAAAGCTAAAAACACACATGACCGATATATTTTAACAATTATTTAACTGAATTCACAAACTTTGTTTTAGCAGGGAACAAAACTAATCAGTTTTAAAGCCACAACATAACCAGTGCTAAGTCTTTCTGCAGCTATGTTTCTTTGTATCGTTTTCTTAGTATGTTTGATTTGGTGATAAGTGGAGGCGTTGCAGAGACAAGGGTGGAACAAAGCTGAGAAATACCGGCTGTTTCTCAGCAACTCCATTTTGACGCTATGTGTTTTGCGCTTCGCATGCGCGACTCCACTGCCTTAATTCCCATCGTTCTGAGCTTGAATGACTTCTTGCACAAAATCCACTGAGCCTCATGCATGTTCCCTGGTTTTAGCCATGGAGAAAACTCTTGGCTGGAGACAATTTTCGTTACATTTACACTTGTTCATATTTTCCAGACAAAAAGTTAATGGTGCATCTCCCAAATGTCCCGGCCGCAACAACGCTTTTATTGGTTCCTCTATCGGGATGAAACCAATAATGGCGAGCCGTTTTTTCTTTTTTATAAAAAGAAAAAAAGATTTGTCAATTTTAACGTTTTATTTAGATTACAAAAATAAATCATAATAAAAATAATCCTATTTATGATGTTTTAAAAAATTAAGACCTACGAAAGACTGATTTAAGACATTTTAATACCAATTAAGGCCTTAGTTTTATTTTGAAGAATTCAATGCCTTTTAAGACTTTTTAAGGACCTGCGGGAACCCTGAATTATGCTGGCAAACAGAATATTAAAGTTCCAGCATTTTAAAGAATACATCAATACAAATAACTGTCATAAATATAATAGATCAAATTCATAAAACATCTTCATTTTTTCCAGGTAAAACCAGTCTATACATGTTAGGACAGTGTAATAAAGTACTCTATGTTTACCTGATCTTGAAATAGTTCAAATTACACAGAGGGCAGTAGTCAGGTTTTACTCAAGTAGGAGAAGCAATACTTTACAAGAATATTACTCAAGTAAAAGCAAAAAGTACAGCACAGTAAACCGACTCCTAAATAATCTTTTTTTTCCAAAATGTTACTCAAATGTAACCTATGTGACCAATTACTACCCACTTCTGTTTAAAAAAGCAAAACCTACACTTAAAAGAAAACAACCAGTTTCATGTAAAACATGCAATATTCATAGTATACCACATTGGTGCTTTTTTAACTGAATCATGCCACGCATCCTGTGGATGGCCCAAGAACCTTTGCATAATGGACTGTAAGAAATCCTCAGACATTGCCTTATGGATGGAAGCAAAGTTCAAACTGCACCAATGAGAACGTTAAAAAAAAAACTCATAGCCATGCAGTGGCTTGTTCTCTCACACTTGCATCTTGATAGGTTGGGAATTTAGAAGAGACTTCCTCTTGCATAAATACGGTTCATTTTTGCAGCAGTATGCATGGCACTGCTGTGCATTTAGATGCACCGTCTTAAAAGTTTATATACCAGTGACTGGTGCAATCATTGGGTCATGATTATGAATATTCTAGTTTGATAGGAGTCACAGCGGGATATTAAAGTCACTGAGAACACCAAGATGGCAGACAAAACCCACAGGAGAAAAAAAAAAAGAAAATTTCAGGTTTTTCCATTAATGAACAGAAAAAGAACAGCACATTTCAAAGGATTTTTCTGACTTAAGTCTCCATAGAAATTTCAGATATCTGCATCCCTTGGGTCAAAATTTAAAACCATATTTTGGGCCAAAATTGAGACATTGGCTGCAATATCAGGGTTTATACAGGAAGGAGAAACTCTAATTTAATGCTTTTTAATGCTCTTTAAATGCTCTTAGAAATAATTTTAATGCCATCATCAATAAGTACCCATTACTCATATATCTATTTATATATGTATATATAAACACGGCCAAATCCTTCGTAATCTTTACCATCGACAGGCTGCAGCCATGTCCCGAGTTTCTCGTTTTCCAGCCACTTTTATTCAAATTTGCTTTTTCTGTGCCTCAAGCTTCTGTTCCGAACATATGGCTTTAGGATCAACCAGAAGCAGTTCCACGCAAACATGTGGAACCAGTTAAATCTGATAAATTTGACAAAAAAAATTTTTTTTTCATTTTTTTTTTATAAAGCATTTTAATGCCAAATAAGGCCTTCATTAAAAAAATTATTTATTGACTTGTAATGACCCACAGAAACCCTGAATATAGAAATTCTAGCTCTAGGAATAAATTGATTTGGACAGTTCTCAAAGTTCTACGACTCAGAGATATTCAATACATTTTAGCACAAACTTAAAGTTTTGAATTGGCAGCCAATTTCCTATGATAGTTCAACTTCACTGCAAGTCAAGTTATAGATAACAGCCAAAATATGGACAAATGGCAATGGACAAATGCATAGAGAACAGGCAATGCGTACCATTTACTTTGATTTTTGAAGCAGTGGTGGTCCACTCCGTTTTCACTACCATTCCCTCAGCATGACAGGTGACCATCGGATGATTTGGTGAGCCCTTTCCCATTAAAGGACAGGACATTCTCACAGGTAGCCCCAACCAGATCAATGGAAGCACATAGTAGTTCTCCTGCAACCAGAGAAAACACAATGCGTTGATAAGCTCTGCATAGATGGGAGGACGGCTTGAAACAGAAAACCCACCTGAATAATGACAAAGCAACCGTCATAAGGTGCCTGCAAGACCAAGTCTTTCTGAGTCGACCGGATGGTGTATCCACAGCTTGAAGGCAACTTTGTCAGAGATAGAGGAGATAAGTTACCTGAAAAGAAAAAGATTGAGGCTTATCAAAAAAAAAAAAAATTGCTTTCCCTTTTAATTTTTCCCCCCCATAAAGAGTAACAGATTAAAATCCGTAAAAAACATACCCCTGTCAACAAGGATGACAGATTCAGGGGTAGAAGTTGCATCATGAACCAGAAGCTTCATGGAGTCTTGTGAGCATTCCACCTTTGACTCCATTTTAAGGAGGTTTTCCATCGCCATCTTTTGCCAGTCACTTCTTTCAGGAGATTGTTTGGTCTGCCAGCCTTTTAAAATAAAATTAAATATATTTGTACTACAATGATTGAACAACCTTCTCCACATTTTTAGAACCTAAACATGTTTCAGGTTCTGCAGCACATACCCATGTCAGACTGGTAGTCAGTTTCAACATCCAGCACCGGCTTTCTGGAGTTGGTTGCATTGAGCTTAGCCTGGCTGAAGGAACTTTGTCCAATTAAGAGTCTTCCATTGTGCAGGTGAGCTCTGTCAGTTTGGCTTTTGGTGTGCACTGAGGTTTCTCTAGATTTATTCAATGCATTGAGCTTTGTCGGTTTGGAACAGTTGCATAGTGACACTACAAACAAAAGAAGTCCCAAACATACTAAAACTACACCCCCTTTGCTTTCTCTGCACGCCATTAGAACGAAGGAAAAAATAAAGCAATGCAAACAGGCAAATGGCCTCAGCTGTGTCCAACATAAGCTGTACTCTGTACCTAGCAGGTATGTTCAAGCCCAAAGGCGCACAAACAAAGTTCTAATTATGTTCTGCTAATAAGCTGAATGCAGCAGGTGAAGGCTGTTGTGCTAATTAGCATGTGGAGCAGTAATGGCAGTTGTGTGAATCATAAAGTAAGATTCTATGAGGTCCATGTAGAAGCTGTAAGCTTTCTACTTCTAATAAATTGTATAACAATAGTTTAATCAAATTAGGTGTGCACAAAAAGGACAAAGCTAATATCAGCTCCAATGACAGAATAGACAGAAACGTATTGTTTTAATCTTTTGGTCTAATTTAGTGGTTATCCTGTAGGAACTTCTAGCTTAGCTTAGGATTTTCAAACAGTAACTAAACAGACTTTGACTTTTTTCATGATGAAGTTTGGAAATAAAGAAAAGAAATCTACACAATTGTGCAAAAAAGTTGAAATTCCAAATGAGGAAGCGAGAGTTTCTGACCAACCCAGAACTCTAGATCCAATATGGCTGCCAGGTTAGTTACAGTACTCACTTTTTTTTTGCATTAGTCTATTCACATGTCCTTCTTTTTCTTCTAGCCTTGAAGGTAGAAAACACACCAAACTATAGTATATATAGAACCATAGAACCAAACTATATAGAATATTAACAGCTTTTGTTTTCTAAGTCTTGGAACAGGAATGTGATTTAGTTGGATTGGATGTCATTCCCATTCCAAAAACTTCCAAAAAATTTGGGAAATTAATAGGATGTTTGCAAAAATTTAGTATTTACTTAAAAAATGCGTCTCTCCTCCTTTGACTTCTGGCTCCAACATGGCAGCTAGTGTATTTGCACAACTTATGGCTCCAAAATCTCTTTATACATATATATAAAATAAAATGACAGTTGGAAAATACTTTAATTTAAATATCTCATTTTGCTATGAAATTATAATTTTTTTTATTTATATTTTACTGTTTTTTTCCAGGGAAAGGGGAACAACACACATTAAGAAGAGAGGGAGGGCGGGATGGATAGATAGATTTTAATGAACCATTAAATAGTGAAATACACCATTGATATGCTGATGAAGATTCTCAGTCATCCAGGTCATAGTCATTCCGTAAAAGTAAAAGATTTGGAGACGTTTCGCCACCTCTCCAGGATTCAGTTGAGAAAGCTTCCTGGAGAGGTGGCGAAATGTCTTCAAATCATGGAAACCAGGTCGAGTGGATTTTTTTTATTTTATTTATTGAACTTTTACGGAACACCATTGATAAAAAAACAAAAAAGTATTTATTCAAATGAATATTATTACATTTAAAATTAATTCAATAGATAAAATGACAGTTGGAAAAATTATTTCATTTAAATGTTTTTTGTTAAATTTATTAAATTATTATTCTTTTTACTTATATTTTATTTTTTCCGTTGAAGAGGGGAACAACTAGCCTCGTGAGACCATCCTGATCTCGCAAGTTTTCAAGGTTTTACTCGCATATCAGTCTGGAGACTCTCCCTTAAAGAAAATTTGGAGCCGTTCACCAAACGAACGTCCAATCAGCGTTGGCTTTGAGGCGGGTTGATGTGTGACGCAACGAGAAGCGCGACAGTTCCGTCTAAAGAACATGGCGGCTTCAGCCGATGAAACTAGCGTTAGCGTGGCTATGGAGCAAGTTTTATCGGAATTACAGAGTATTTCTTCACTGAAAGAAGAGCAAAACACTGCTCTGGAGGCTTTTCTCAGAGGAAAAGATGTTTTTGCTCTTCTCCCGACTGGTTTTGGCTAGAGTAGCCTGCCTTGTGGTTGTGTTTTCGTCGTCGCTCTGTTAGTACGTCATATGCTTCGTTGATCTGATTGGTTTATTTGGCCCGTCTATCACCAACATAGGCCAATCAGCTAACCAGTATTTTGGCCCCTTCCCAAAATTACTTCAACGGAAGGATTCCAGATGGAGTCAGGTTAGGGAACAACACACATTAGGAACAGAACTATGTAAATCCAGGGAGTTTGTCACATACATATTCATACAATAGGATACATTTTACATTATTTCATAGTAATAACGTCAGACTGAGCAGAGAAATACCATTTCAATCATCGCTTTGTGAAGAGTTCCATTTTTTGGTTAACATAAGCCGTTATTTCTTCCATCTTCTATATTTCCACCACAATGTCTCTCCAGGTACCAAGTTTTTCTGGTTGTAGCCATTTCCTTGTGATAGCTTTTTTTGCTGGCCACCAACAGGATGTTCATTAAGTATTTGCCCACTTTCAGCCAGACTGGAGCGACACATCGCAGATACAAAGTCTTAAAGTCCAGTGGCAAATCCTCTCTGAAAATATATTGTAATGAGTTATGCATTTCTGACCAAAAACCTTGAATTTTGGGGCATTCACAAAAGACATGGGGGTGATTTGCACTTTGTTGACCACTGAATTTAGATTAAATTATTTTTTAAACTATACAATTTCTTTAATATTTATAAATACTGAATGAAGGTAATGTTTTATTACCACTTATCACCACACTGCTGCATTTTAATTTGCAGGGTGAAAGTTTGGGAACCCCTATATCACGAAATATCCTTCCTAATTTTAGCTTCATTTCAGTAAAATTTTCGCAACAGAATGAGTAAAAAAAAAAAAAAAAAAAAAATAGAAATATGTTTTTAGATCTAAATTACTAGTTTGGAAACTATTTGACATAAACTGTTATAATAAAAAAATTCACATTTCTTGTTTGAAAGGATATGTTGAAACTAGAGTATTCATTTTACTCTGACAATTTTTTTATTTTTTGAAAATTTAATTAGAATTTGTTTTTTCTGTAATTTCCATGTTATGGATTTTCTGTTCACATGATTTTTATGGTGTAGATCAAACTAAAATATGAAATACTTAGCATTAAAGGGATCAAAATAAATTTTTTAAATGGCATAGGTAAAAAATAAGTTGTTTTATTTAAAAGTCATGTAATTGAGTTTATTTGGCTGAGCTCGGGTATAAAGGCTCAGAGAACACTGGCATAGACCTTTAACGCCTTCTTTGCTTCCTGCATCTATAATCTAATGGATCCACCGTCAACCTTTATTTCAGAAAAGACCTGCTTACTGTGAATATTAGAAATCCATTTAATAAAGATTAACTTTACCAACTCATCGTAACGCCTTTCCAAACCAGTTAAATTACTTTTTTATTTGCAAATCCCCAATTACTTGGTTGTTTGCAGATTTACCATTTCATATTTTTCTCTTATTCTGATTCTAAATTTTTACCATAAGTCTGAACATATAATACCTGAAATGTAAACATGTAGGTACATGAGTAATTTCCCATCTTTAAAACAGACTGACTTCTTTTTCTTTAAAACAGACTAAAGACGTTTGCTATTTTGCCCTCCAACTACAGGAACCAGAGAACTGGTGAGCAATTCTTCATTTACAGCCATCTGTGTACAACCTGATCCAAAAGGTTACATCCTAGCTCTGCTCACTGGTTGGATTTCTTTTATTTAATCTTTAAACACAATAGCATTTACCTTGAAAAGCACACAAAAAAAAAAAAACTTCAACTAAAAAGACGACAAAACACTTCAAATTTCAATTTTGCTTTTTTTATTACTTTTATTCTTTACATATCCCACAAAGACTGGAGATTACCAATGCCAAAATATCCCTTAAGAAAGTGCCATTAGAAGTTATTTCTTGCCGGGGCAGCAGATACAAATCCAACTCGTATTAGTGTCAGATCAGAAATAGATTTTATGGCACAATACAGGTTTTTTTTTTTCCCCAGGAGAAAAAAAAAAATAAAAATCACAAGACATCTTACAAATGTTCTTATTCCAACCAACATCATTTTCAATGTTTAGTGTACACAGCATTGTTTTAATATATTTCTAGGTACCATACTATGACAAGTTGTGAATACACTTCGATGACTAAAGCACAAGGCAAACGAAACAAAACCAATCCCGAGGTGATGGGGAGTCCAGCAGCCTCAGTGTACAGTCTAAATGCATTCACGTTGTAGTAAAAAAATGACATTGCTTTTGTAGTAATCAATGCACATTAAGTTAGCAATAGCCGTTAGTGAGGAAACATTTTAGTGTGGAAGTCTAAAGAAGCAGTTACATGTTTTACAGTCTGAAGCCGTCTCGGTGGTTTCCAGGCAGCCAACGTTCACCTCCAAGAAAGAAAAAAAAACTAAAGGTACCTCTCTTATGGTTGGTCCACATGGGAGGGCGAGCTTACGACGGTGTAGCTTTTACAGCAAAACATGTAGATAAAGCAGAAGACCGCCACGTGTCGACGGTCAGAGATGGGATCAAGCGTGACAAAGATCGGTGTAATGCTGACCTTACGTTACATTCAAAAGAAACAAAAAGCCCAACGCCACATCATTTACTTTAAGACCACATTCAGGAACAATATAGCAAAAAAAAAAAATAATTAATGGACGGTAAAAGGAGAAAAAAAAAGGGGGGGGCAATTAAGAGGAAGTCTTTCACAACTGATCAGCTAACTTTAAGAGAAAGGCAGAAAAGTATGAAGAAAAGCCATTTAGAAGAGTCTAACTTCATTTTACACCTTCATTTATTTATGCACATTTGCCCTTAAACCTCTCAGTAAACTATAACTGTAGTGTAACAATCATAAAAGGTTAAAGGAAGGGAAAAAAGTGTCAGGAGAGGTTAAGTCAGGAGACTAGGGAGGAAGTAACACTGTTTGCCACCTAATCCTGGTGAGTGGGAGTGAGCTGCTAAATTGACCAATGGGCGGAGAGGTGGCTTAGAATCCAGATTTCCTCAGGTATATATGCTCTCTTGTTAAGACGTCCACCATGGACTTTCCTTCCCCATGACTAAAAACAATACTGGCAAAAAAAAAAAAAAACAGGGGGTGGGAACAAAAAAGAAATCAACAAAACAGAAGAGCCTCCCCTTCATGCAGGATGAAGGAATGAGAACAAAGGTGACACGGGATCTTGTCGCTCTTCACTGCTATTAAATGTTTCCAAAACATTTGACTGCTTGCAGGAGAAATCTTAACAGCAATATTTTTTTTTTCCTTTCCTTTGTCCCTCAATTTTTAATCTACGTGAGCTTGAAAGCATTAAAAACCCGAATCCCTCAAGTATTTTGCCATCGAGTAAGCCTTCTTATTCAAGCCGCCTCCATGGACCCCTTCTTTGCCCATTACAAGAACCAAAACTGAAAGAGAAAAGATGGGAAAAGGGAAGCAGTTAAGTGAAAAAGAAGGGTAAAGAAATATAAATATACCACTTTGAAATGTATGTCCATTTTTTTAAATTACAGAAATCATTCTTCAGTTTCTGTAAAGATGCACACTATTTTTTCTAGGCTGCAGAAGGAAAATAAAGCTACAGGACCTTATAGCCTTGTGGCAAGAAATGAGTCCATATGTTAAAGGAAAATTCCGGTTTTTAACACTTTTAGCCCATTTTCTGTAGTGTCCAGGATGAAATCGAATGATCGACACCAAAATTTTGACAATTGGTCCTGTCTCTGCTTTTTGGCCCATGCAGAATCCCCCCCTGGCTGCTTCAGAATGGCTTCCATTGTGCATGTCCGATAATGTCCTTAAAACAACCTTAAACGTTCTTTTTTTAAAATATGCTACTCACCGGGTCGTCAGCGCTGTTCAATGACGTTCCAAAAAAAGTTTCGTGAAGAAAAACCGTTCCTGTCTTGTTTTATTTAGCATTTTGTAAATCCCAGAACTATTTTTTCCCATACATCACAACCGCTTATAAACTTCCGCTTCCCGTTCGAATCTGAAGCGTTGCACACTCCAGACCACTAGTTGGCGACAATGTCTCTATACTTTGGGAAACTCAAAGTCCAATATGTCCTCAAGAATCCACCTTTCGTATTCCATTTTCAGAGTTTTTTAAAGTGTTTAACAGAGACGTTAGCACCTCGACGTCGGAGTACACAGAGTGAAGCAGAAACACTTAGGCCTTGCGAAAAGACTACAACTAAGCGTAAACAGGCCCCATTTCCGTTTCCGGTGGCGGAGGGATATTGACTATTCCAACAGAACTCAATGGGATATACAAAATGCTAAATAAAACACTACAGGAACGTTTTTTCTTTACGAAACTTTTTTTGGAACGTCATTGAACAGCGCTGACGACCCGGTGAGTAGCATATTTTAAAAAAAGAACGTTTAAGGTTGTTTTAAGGACATTATCGGACATGCACTATGGAAGTCATTCTGAAGCAGCCAGGGGTGGATTCTGCATGAGCCAAAAAGCAGAGACAGGACCAATTGTCAAAATTTTGGTGTCAATCATTCGATTTCATCCTGGACACTACAGAAAATGGGCTAAAAGTGTTAAAAACCGGAATTTTCCTTTAAAATGACAAAGCAATGAAATAGAAAGCCTCAGACACAAGGCTGCAGTATCTTGGTGAGAAACATTAAATTAATGCTAATTTAACAATTTATGCTCATGAGTCACAGAAAACAGGAAAAAATGTCAAAGTTAAATGCAATTTCAGGTTCTCTCCATCAGCTAGAAGCACACTTACGTTTTTTTTGTTCTTTATGGTTTTAAATTTAAAAGAGCTTCTAATAGTTACGCTTTGGTGTGGATCATTTCTGTTATCTACTCAGACTGAGAGCTTTCATGACTAAACAATGTTTGCAACCATTTTATCTGTAAAAAGAAGCTTCTCAGAGGATGGAGGTCATAAAAATCCATTCTGATTTTATTCTTTTAACATTTTGATGCATATATATATATATATATATATATATATATATAAAATTAAATATAAAACACTAAATCAGTCTGCCATTTAAAAGCGATTATTTTTCCAATTTATTGGATATAACAGCAGTTACGGAGAGTTCTGGATGGAGCTTTTTGACAGATACTAAAAACTAAATGTATCCATATTTTACCCTTTGCTGCTGCAATTACTGATCTGGGTTAGTCCTTACAGCTAATGGCATGCTTTAGAATCTAAACTTCAGTTAACGATTAATCAATTACTAAATTAGTTGAGGACTATTTAAATAATCAGTTAATCAAAACCAACTAATCTAATCGTTTTAGCTCTAATTTGGATGCGATTTGACTGAATTGTTATAAACATGTAATGCCTAAATCTCAAACACTGGAGGAAAGCGTGTTATTCCACAAGCTTACGATAAAAGTACTTATGTTGAAACATGTATAATCTGCCGTTGAAGCAATCGTATGCTTCCGGTTTTGACCTTTAATCTATAAGTATGCAGCTTTCTTTGTAAAGCAGAGTGTAGTTCTACATTCTGCCTGCGGTACATGTTATGTACCACAGGCAGAAGGTAAGGTCAGAAGGTAAAGGTCATGGCTATAACTTAAAATACATATTTTTTTTCCCAAATAAATAGGTCTAGAGAGATTAGATTTTTTTTTAAATACATGTTTAAGGGTCCAAAATATACAAGAATTTAATTCTGATTACGATGCCAAAGTTTGCATAGAAGATTCGGCATCAATAATAGGAGATCAGGGGGTGCCAGATCTTAGTAGCGGCGGGATAGAGCTCAGTTATGAATCTTCTCGGTTACATTTCTCAGATTTAAGTATTTAAAAAAAAAAAGTGTTTGAAAAGAAACTTTTGACTTTTTTCTTCTTTTAAACATACTTTTTGGTCAGTGATGATATCTTAAGGGGCTGATTTGGAATAGGGAGGTTACCTCTTTCCTCCTGAATGGAGAAGTTAAATGTAAAGGAGAGCAGGTGAGTGTGAGAGCACCACCTACTGGCCGTGAGGAATTAAACTTGTAGCCGTTCTTAGGTTTAATAAATTTTGGCTTTAATAATGAGGGCCCAACTTTCCCAGTAAGCAAACAACTGCTCAAAATACTGAGCAGAAATTACCAACACGCTTCTTAAAAGTCTACTTATTTCAGCAGAACTACTGTGTTTTTCTGCTAGCGCCAATTTGAAGCTATAATGATTGTTACAATTCAAAATAAAAGCTTGATTTTAAATTATGTTCCTCTTTGAATTCCCAATGCTGCACTGGAAAAAAATCTAAGTCTAGATAAGTAATTTTTTCTTAAAATAAGTGCCTTTGTTCTTGGATTGAGGAGGTAAAAAAGACATTTTGCCAATGGAACAAGACAATTTACATTTAAAATAAAACACAATTGCATTGTCTCATTTCAAGTGTATGTTATCTAATTATTTTCAGTAAAAATACTTATTTCGTTGGCAAATTATCTCATTTAACTACTCAAATTAAAAGTAAATACAGTTATTTTAAGGAATTTTAACTTTTTCTACATCGTTTTTCCAGTGTAGACATTTTGCAGAATCAGGCTTAAGGACTGCCAATAAGTGGGTATGTAATATGGCTGAACGATCTAGCCAAAAATGAGAACTGCAATTATTTTCAACCAATAATGCAATTTTATTTTGATTTTCCTTTGCGCTACCCACAATAATGCAGCATTTTAGTTTTTTCATGACCCTGAAAACTTGCTTTTTCATAGTCAAGTTGTTTGAAGGACTGCAACCTTTTTTGGGGGGAAAAATGTTCTTCTACTTGCATGCATGGATTCACTTGCTAGCTGGCCATTTCTTTTTGTGGCAGCTAACCCACATTAAATATATTACCACAACCTAAAAGACTGGAGTGAGAAAACAATTGGTTTCCTACTCTTGTTAAATGTGATGTGATCAAAATTAGGCACCTCTGTGATTTGAAAACTGCATATAGTTAAACTGAAATTGTATTGCAAATCTAAATAATTGCTTAGCCATGGTATTGTTGATATATTGTTGATTTCCCTCCCCAAGTATTAACCTAAAAACCACACAATTTCCAGACCCCAGTCTGCACAGACACATTTAACCTGTCGATACCTTTTCCAGCTCTTCCTACAGAAATATTATACGTAGGTTCTCCTCCCTGGCTCTTCGTCCGGATGTCCATTGTCCAGTCGGCGTCGTCGTTGAGGCTGTCTCTGAGGACCGAACACTTCTTTGAGCCCAGAGTGAGACCATTGGTGTAAAAAGACTCTCTGTCCTTACCGACGAGAACATCAATTTCCTGCGGCTGAAGGAGCAGAAACATTTGGATTTAGGCAACAGATTCAAAATGTTCCCTTTTCTCTGAAGGAACAAAAACAAAAGGAATAAAAAGAATATTTGAATTCGTGCAATCAAAGAATGTCATCAAGCTTTGATTTTACCCTTTAACTACAAAGCTCATCAAAATGCATCCTATTGTTTTAATGCTTGCAGAAAACTCAAAAGCACTTCATCCAAGTCATGAACGGGGGAGGATGGCTGACAGGTGCAGCTCTAAAATCCAGGTTTTCATTTTGCACATTGATTTTTATTTAATTTTTAAGAGTAATGCATTTCATATTTCAATAACTGCAGCCCAGGCTAATTATTAATGCAGTTCTTTAGCTTAAATCATTTTTTTTCCAGTTGAAAAGACTGATCAATTTCATCAATATTTCCATGGCAGAGCACCATTAATAAGCTATTAGTTACCATAACGTGACAGACATGTCGCTATGCACCAACCCCCCCCCCCCCCCCCCCCCCCCCCCATAACATTCCTTCCATTCAATAATTTATTTATTTATTTGTTACAGTTAAAAATGCTAACAGGTTGTTGATTTAGCTGGATATAAAAGGTATGCACCATCTGCGCTGGTAGACTAGCCAGACATTAGCCTAGTTAGCCTTTCTGGACCACAGGTAGTCTGTAAAGTAGCAGCTTAACTTCAGCTAATCGAAGCACAAAAGCATGCACGCCGTCTGCTAGCTGCCTTTAAATTAGCTTTACGTCTCAGAAGTGGAGCTCCAAATAGTAGGAGAAACACCGCAGCACCCAACGATGCAATATCCCACCCTTGTCACGGTGACAGCAGCCTTGTCACGGTCTAATCTGACAGCGAATCATTTAGGATGGTCTAATATCCAGCGCAGGCCACCTGCCGCTAGGCTAGTTAGCTCCCGGCTAGCTCCGTACCGTTAGTCGGTTCATTGGGAGCCTGCGAAGTAACGGTTACAGCGCTGCTGAGCGTCCGCGTGGGCAGAAGCACCTCCGATACTGCCAACCGACATCCCAGCTTTTCACAATTTATTCCCTTTTTCTATAACTTACCGTGATATTGTTGAATGTACCGCCGGCATGTGCTGCCCAAACATATTTGGCGTCTGTATACCCAACAATGGCGCTATCCTGACAGCTGCCATCGGCCATCAGGTTTTCCACATAGCTTTGCCAAGACATTTTTAAGAAACTGGCGCTATTTATTTATTGGTATATATATATATATAAACTATAGCTTCGCGGGTGAGGTTACCAAAATAAAAAGAAAACGACAGAGCTGAGGAAGGTCGAAAAAGTCTCAAGGCGAATTTAGAGTCTCCAATCAAAGCCACACTTCGACATTGACCAACGCGAAGGCTGGGGCTGCAAAGAAAGCCAGTTCAGTGAGGCGGCGGCTGGGTGTAGTCCGCATCAGATCCCTCCGCACAATGAGATCCCCTCCCTCCCTCCCTACAGGGCGGTTATATGGAATAAAGAGGGACTAATCAGCTCAGCCAAGAGTCAGTGCTGCGGGTCAGAGGCGGATGGACATGTGCTCGTTTCATTCATTTCTTTTTTTCCCATGGCATTATTCCCATGCTGTATAGAGTGAATATTGCTCCATTAATATTGCAAGCATAAACCATGCTCTGTATAGTACATTGGAGCATTAGGGCCAGGCTAGAGATTTTTTTTCTTCTTTTTCGAGAATAAAGTCAAACAATAACGAGAATAAAGTCGTAACATTACTAGAAATAAAGTCGCAATATAATTACGAAAATAGATTAAGTGAATAAAGTCGCTAAATTATGAGAGTAAAGTCGTAAAATTACCAGAATGAAGTAATATTACAAGTCAAAAGGCGAATAGTCATAAAATTACGAGAATAAAGTCGTACAATTACGAGAATAAAGTCTCATAATTATGAGAATAAAGTTGTACAATTAAAAGAATTAAGTCGTAAACTTACGAGAATAAAGTCGTAATATTACAAGAAAAAAGTCATAAGGAGAATAGTTATAAAATTAAGAGAATTAAGTCGTACAATTACAAGAATAAAGTTGTAAAATTACGAGAAAAAATCACAACGAGAACAGTCATAAAATTACAAGAATAAAGTCATAAGGTTACAAGAAAGAAGTCTTTAAATTATGAGAATAAAGTTATTAAAGTAGTTAAATTAGTTAAAAAGTAAAAGTTAAAAGTAGTTAAATTATGAGAGTAAAGTGAATAAAGTCGTTAAATTATGAGTAAAGTCGTAAAATTATGAGAGTAAAGTCGTAAGATTACCAGAATAAAGTAATATTACAAGAAAAAAGTCAAAAGGAGAATAGTCATAAAATTACGAGAATAAAGTCCTACAATTACGAGAGTAAAGTCTCATAATTATGAGAATAAAGTTGTACAATTAAAAGAATTAAGTCGTAAACTTACGAGAATAAAGTCGTAATATTACAAGAAAAAAGTCATAAGGAGAATAGTCATAAAATTACGAGAATAAAGTCATAAGGTTACAAGAATGAAGTCGTTAAAATATGAGAATAAAGTCGTAAAATTATGAGAGTAAAGTCGTAAGATTACCAGAATAAAGAAATTTTACAAGAAAAAAGTCAAAAGGAGAATAGTCATAAATTTATGAAAATAAAGTCATAATATTAAGTGAATAAAGTCGTTAAATTATGAGAGTAAAGTCGTAAAATTACGAGAGTAAAGTGGTAAGATTACCAGAATAAAGTAATATTACAAGAAAAAAGTCAAAAGGAAAATAGTCATAAAATTAAGAGAAAAAAGTCCAACAATTACGAGAATAAAGTCTCATAATTACGAGAATAAAGTTGTACAATTACAAGAATAAAGTCGTAAACTTACGAGAATAAAGTCGTAATATTACAAGAAAAAAGTCATAAGGAGAATAGTTATAAAATTAAGAGAATTAAGTCGTACAATTACAAGAATAAAGTTGTAAAACTACGAGAAAAAATCACGAGAACAATCATAAAATTACAAGAATAAAGTCATAAGGTTACAAGAAAGAAGTCTTTAAATTATGAGAATAAAGTCGTAAAATTACCAGAATAAAGTAATATTACAAGAAAAAAGTCAAAAGGAGAATAGTCATAAAATTACGAGAATAAAGTCCTACAATTACGAGAATAAAGTCTCATAATTATGAGAATAAAGTTGTACAATTAAAAGAATAAAGTCGTAAACTTACGAGAATAAAGTCGTAATATTACAAGAAAAAAGTCATAAGGAGAATAGTCATAAAATTACGAGAATAAAGTCATAAGGTTACAAGAATGAAGTCGCTAAATTATGAGAATAAAGTTGTAAAATTATGAGAGTAAAGTCGTAAGATTACCAGAATAAAGTAATATTACAAGAAAAAGGTCAAAAGGAGAATAGTCATAAAATTACGAAAATAAAGTCATAATATTAAGTGAATAAAGTCGTTAAATTATGAGAGTAAAGTCGTAAAATTACGAGAGTAAAGTCGTAAGATTACCAGAATAAAGTGATATTACAAGAAAAAAGTCAAAAGAAGAATAGTCATAAAATTACGAGAATAAAGTCTCATAATTATGAGAATAAAGTTGTACAATTACAAGAATAAAGTCGTAAACTTACGAGAATAAAGTCATAATAGTCGGGACTCACGTTTGGGGCGGTTCTTCTCTCACTTCGAATCCAGTCAGTGTGGGTTGATCTAGTGAAGAGGGGACTCGTTGGAGAGTGGACAGGTAGACACTAGTTGGACCCGGAGGAGCTATTGAGCAGACTGTCACTCGGAAATCCAGGATAACTTGAACGGAACTTGTGGAGGTTATTCCCCTGCTCAGTGTGAGACTCAAACATTCCTTCCAGGGGAAGAAGGCCAAAAATCCAGCTTACAGGATGACTTCCCAAAACTGGCAAACACTCTGGCCCTGAGGTAGTGACAGTCCATTGCTTAAGTACTCCTCCAGATAATGATCCAATGAGGCGCAGGTGTGCAGGAAGGACCAACGAGGACAGGGTGCCACCTGGTGGTGGAGGGAGAGACAAACACAAAACAACAAACCACACAAACTGGATTCCTGACAAGTACGAAAGGGAAAATACCAACCTGAGTCAGGGGACAGATCCAAGGTCATTAACAGCAGTCCGAAACACAGAAACAGGCAGAAAAAGACCGGAAAAGGGGCAAGCAAAAACTCAGGAATCCAGAGGCAGAAACAGCTCAGGAACAGGCATTTTAAAACACACCAGGGTACGCTAGATAACTCTCACACTCAGCTTGAATAATCTGGCACTGATGGCTGGAAACAGGCAGCATAAAGAGGGGGTGGAGATTCACACTAGATGTGAAAAAAATTATTCCAGCCAACCTAAATTAACACTTGGCAAAGAACATGTTAAGAGTATTATCAGAAGAAAAACTGCTGCAACTTTTGCAAAATCAGCAATTTCCCATACATTTGTTTATATTCGTCTGCACATATGAATTTTCTGTGTTGGTTGCGTACATTCTGATGGTTAAATATTTCAGGTTATTTCAAACTCTAAGGACCTAGTGTAAGGTGTAGAGTTGGGTGTTATGGTTCTCCCCTTTTGGGACTCTGAGTTTTTAGTTATTCTGTTTTGCTAATCTTTGGTTTATTTTCCATTTTATTCTAGCAGTCTTTAGTTGCTCTCTGTTGCTCCCCTTGTGCTTGTTTCCTTTCCCCTTGGCTTCTTTCTAGTTAGTTCCACTTACACCTGCTCCATATTCAGTTCATTAGTCCATCCTTTGTTCTGTTCCCCATATATACTCCACCTCTGCAGTCTCTCAGAGCTGGTTCCTTGTTGTTATTTTGTTGTTCCCCGTCTCTGGCTTCCCATGTGAGTTTTTCCTGATGCTTTCTGGAAATATGGTAGTTATTTTTTTGTTTTGGTTCTCTGCCTCTGTTTTTTTTCATTAACAAAAAGGGAGGGGCTGAATTCATGAGGATTACATTATCAGATCTGCATGGAGGCAAGTGGAATCCCACTTTGTGCAGAATTTGGATGAGGGAATAGAATTCTAACAGTTATAAGTTGCATAAGTGCTGCAGCCTTCTGTTCAAATGCACTGCACTGGATCCACCTAGAGCCAGGGGCAGAGCTAGATGGGGGGCCTACCATTTTTTTTCCCTATAATACAGATGGTGGCAGCAGTAATACTCTCAAGTGGAATATTCTAACTTATTTAACATTTTAATTTTCTATATCTAAACAATTACCTTACAACAAAACCCTGTGGTTAATTATGCACATTGATATACTAACATTAAAGATAAATACAGAATTCTCTTTTCAGAACTAGATTTTGTCTTAAATGGGGTAAAGAGAAAATTAAGTCATCTAGGAATCTTCACTGAAATCAGAGATAAATAACTACTTTAATAAGAAGTAATCCATTTAATGTAGATATTAGTACATGTAAATATAAATTTTATGCTGAATGATTATTAATAAAAATAGGTTAGTAATGACAATGGATAAGATGTTCGTCCCAGAACTCAAAACTGAAAGAATTTTGTCCACTACACCTTTAATTTAGACAGCATGGATGCTTAAATATATGCATCTATTTGTTAGCAAATGCTGTGGGAAAGTATAATTTGTCTTTATTTAGAAAATATGGATGTTGTGCTTGTTCATTTTCATTTTGGAACAGTGTACATTGACCCTGAGGTTCTGGTGCCTATCCGCTTTTGGCCACCCATCAGTGTACATTGGTTATTGCCTGGCCACCCTTGTTAAAATTTTCTGGCTACGGCTCTGCCTAGAACCTCTAATAATGTATTGTGTAAACCTGCATCTGGGTGGAGGAAGAGATATCATTATTAAACCTTAACTGCTCCTCCCAAAGTTTGTATTTATTTTATTTGATTAATTGATCTATAACAGACAGAACTGATCAAAATAAATCAAACTGTGTAGCTGCTTTATTATAAAAATATTTTATAGGAGAACTGCGTTTAGCTGCTAAACATCAAGATCACAGCTCAGATTTAATGTAGATAAATGTAGATGAAAAAAAAGAAAAACAAAGGAAAAACAAATACAGAACAACAATTTCACCAGCAGAGGGAGCCATAGCAATAATTATGCTAAAAAAGAGTATCTATCTATCTATCTATCTATCTATCTATCTATCTATCTATCTATCTATCTATCTATCTATCTATCTATCTATCTATCTATCTATCTATCTATCTATCTATCTATCTATCTATCTATCTATCTATCTATCTATCTATCTATCTATCTATCTATCTATCTATCTATCTTCAACAGGAAAGGTTTTACCCTTCTTCTGAGATATTTGAGGGATATCTGCAAAGTACAGCCTTCCTCCTTCAGCTCAGACCACAACACTTCAATGAGATCAAGATCTTTGCTCTGA